TATTAACATTTTCATTGAACTTCAATAGAAGACTTTCCTTCTTTTTTTATTTTTATTCTTTATTTTTTTTTTTTTTATATTTTTATATATATATATATATTTCTTCCTAAAACGTGTAGTTACGCAACACGCGATTATCAATGTTCATATGTTGGAGAGTTTAAAAAAAAAAAGAAGATTTTGATATGATAAGTAAAGCTTTCCATTGAAATCCAGCATCATTTTTTTTTTTTTTATTTTGCAATTATTCGCAAAATATGTAGGAAACACACACTCGACGTTCTTTAAACGTTCGCGATCACAATTGAAATTTCATTATTTAGGTATATTATTTTCCATTTTCTTCCTCCTATACATACATACATATGCGCATAGATTTATCTTCATTTTTCTTTACTATTCCATTTTTGTTTGTTTGTTTATTTTTGTTTCTTTAAACCACTGCAGTTTAAGGCATACTTCCAGTAACGCGATTACGATTATAAGGGATGCATTTCTCTTAACTTCTCATCGAAAGGATGCACATACATAGATAATCTTGTTTAACACTTTTGAAAAGTATCGACACATCCTTTGCTTATTTATTTATTTATTTATTATATCTTATTGTTCAGTATTTTCCTTAACGATCTGTAATCTCGTTCAATAATTGATTAATTGTTGCTCCCGCTGAGAAGTTTCTAGAAAATCGATATAACACGTTTTGCGACGTTTATTTATTTATCTTTTTTTTCTTTTTTTTTGATACATCCTAAATATGATATTTTCTAATCAACGAATCAAAACGCGTTCGCGCGTGCATAGTTTTTGCACAAGAACAAAAACCAAAATTACAATATAACTAGTATTCTTTTACTCTCTTTGTCTCTTTCTGTGTCTCTTTATATATTATTAACATTTAATAAGTTTCATTTTATATATATATATTGTTATGTGGCACATACACAAATATAAATATATTCTTTTATATGTGTACACACACACACATATATATATATACATATACATATACACTAGCATATATGAACGTATATATTAATTATACTTATATTTATGTACGCGAACATTAAATATCGATTATTTTCGAGAAACTTCTCGTGCCACGCATGTATTGCTTTCACGAATTTGACATATTTAATTGTGTCCGCACTGTTTTCTTTTCGAACTTTCAGTACCGATTGAAACTTTAAATATGTATATATATATATATATATGTTTATATATATACATATGTATATTGTTCTGCTTACATTTATGGTCCCTACAAAAAATACATTACATCTATAAGCAGTTTATATCATGGTAATAACCATACATACATACATACATACATACATACATATATACAATGTATACACAAATATATGCATACATATATGCATAATTAACATACATATACATATATATTTATATATACATTATGCATATATAACATAACATTTTGCTTATATTGGAATTTAATTACTATATTTAATCCTATCTAATACTTGATCGTTTTTTTCTTTTTTTCTTTTTCTTCGCTATTTAATAGTTTCAATCCAGATAACTGTACGCGCTCTTGGGGGTGGTGGTAAGGGGTAGGAGAGGTGGGGGTGGGGAGGGAGAATGTTACGTACATATTACGGTCTTGTGACAAGAAAATTCAAGACTAAAATCATACTCAGTAGTAATGAAATATATAACAATATAATAGCGATAAGAGTAATCGTAATAGTAGTAGTAGTAATAGTAGTAGTAGTAGTAGTAGCAGTAATAGTAATAGTAGTAGTAGTAGTAGTACTAATTTTAGCGAGTAGTATCGGCATTAATAGTTATCGCAGTTATTCTGTCGATAGCGAAGGGTTGTATATTGACGTTAACAGGAGATTCATTAAAAGACAATCATTCAATTAGAACGCTTTTGTATTAATATGATCGACCGGGGAAAAAAACAACAACAACAACAACAACATAAAATGCTTGTTCGTTTGATTACGAGAAGATAGAACACAAAGTACTTCATTTTCAAGGCAGATTACAATATGGGAAATAATTAAAAAGAAAAAAACAAAAAAATCATTCAAAAATAAAATTCTTATAAAAGTACTTAAGTAACACATGAGAGAGAGAGAGAAAGTTAGTTATATTTATATAATGTATCGTGTCGTCGTGCAATTATGTTCGATGTTTCTTCAAATCCCAGAATTGAAATGTAAGAAACATCGAATAAACACGACACATCCCGAGGAGTTCGTAAAAATCCATTGAATTGCTCGGTTTTCTTTTTCTTTTTTTTTGTTATTAAATCTCTCCATTCATTTTTTCTAACTATAATTTTATGTACAATTGCAAGTTGCGTTCGAACGGAAATGTTTGTTTCTTCTCCGTTTGACTTCGACGTATTATAAGAAGAAGTTGAACCGAGTTTGATCTGCCCCATTATATATATATATGTACTTAGGTTTTTTGTTATTTATTTTATTTTATTTTATTTTTTTTGTTTTATTTCATCCTCTTATCCTTCTTCTTCTTTTTCTTCTTCGTTTTTATTCTTTTTGTTCTTTTTCTATTCACAGCACTTCTTTGTTACAATCTACGGGCGTTCGTCAAAGTCTACCGTTCGGAAGAAATTTATATATCACAAAGTTATATAGGTATATATATATATATATATATATATATATATCTATATAATATTATATAAGTGCATCGCAATAACGTAGTCATTAAAGAGATCATCGCGCTGTTCTCGAGAAAAAGAAAATAAAAAAAAAAAGAATAAAAAACGATGCGAACGGTCGGCTTTGAGAAATCTCTTTTGAATCATTTTTACTTTTTGTTTATTTTTTTTTCCTTATTTTTTGTTTTTTTTTTTTTTTATTTTTTATTACATCAAACGTGAAAATTGCCTCTAAAATATAGTAGCGTGTATACTACACTTTGAAAAATTGACAGTGACGGACCAAACAGCAAGAGTGATGATACCGTGAGAAATACACGTGAGAACGCGAAAGTAAGTATTATATAAGTAAGTATTAAGTTGCACAAAGTTTACATTTGCGGCATCGCAGAGGGGGGTTCTGAACTTGTTGAGTACCATCGAGAGAGAGAGAAAGAGGCTAACACGTTCTTCTTTTTTTTTTTTTTTAGTATAGAAAGCACGTTAAAATCATTTTTCTTGTTTAATTTTCAATATTTTATTCTTATTTTTCCTTCTTTATCAACATTCTGAGAAACGTATATATGTATATATATATATATATACCTCGATATTTTCTTGAACGGATTAAAATGATTGAAAATATTCCAAATATCAAATGAAAATCAATCCTCGAATACTTTCTTTTCGTAAGCTAAGGCAAAATTTGTTTTTTTTTTCCTCTGGCGGCTTTTCGATATTATATATAATATATTATTATTTTTTCTTTATACTCGTTTCCCGTTGTTATGTTATATTCGGAATAAAAATTAAAAGTGCCCTTACTCCCTATAGAATTTCATTCCTGAGTGAGTTTAATATAGTTTCTTTTCTAGTTTTTTTGTTCTTTCTTTCTTTCTTTCTTTCTTCTTCTTTTTCTTATTTATCTTCATCATTATCATTTGTGTTTTTTTTTTTATTCTTTTATACATCGAAATTGATTCGAGAGGCTTTCAGGTACAAAACTAGTAGCATCCTCGTGACGAGCAAGCTAATTGCATCGAAGCCAAAAACTTATTATATCGGAGACAGTAAGGTCCCATAGATTGATATTAAAATCCGATCGTGTTTAACGTGCGGAGAACTGATAAATAGATTCTCGTTGCTTGGAAGCATTCATTTTTATTTATATAAAATACTGTGTCGATAAATGTGTGTCAGGTAATAATGACCAATGGACTTAATGTAAGTAAACAAAATTGAAAAAATCTATTCCATCATGTATTTCATATTGCAATTATTGATATATTGTAAAATAAATGATAAAATAAATTTTTCCAATTTTCATTTTTTCTTATACTTTTATAGTCCATTCTTATAATTATCGATACAAGTATCATCGTATTGGAAAAAACAAAAACAAGAAAAAAAAGATCTTTTCCACGAAAGCCTTTTTCCTATTTCCGCAAGTGATATTTTATACTTTGAGAGATTCGTTAAAATACATTTACTTAAAAAGCCGAAGAAATGAATCGTCGGAGATCACGTGCCGCTCTTTTCAAAGCGTGTGGGATTATGATCGTGTGTGTATATAATATAATATCTATGAATAAAAGGATAAGATAAACTTCTAACTACACCATTCAATTATTTTCCTATTGTTTTTCAACTATATGATTTTTCTCTTCTATTATTTTTCTTTTATTTACTCTTTCGCTATTTCTAAATTGACTACTTTTTTTGTGAGAAAGCCTAAATCTAGTTATAAAATAAATCTCAGCTCTTGATCTGCGGATAATATAATGTTTATATATATATATATAGATCATTAGTTTTCGTTAACTTAGTTAATTATTTATATTTAAACTTTAAGTTTTTTTGTCTAGTCTTGTATTTCTTAAGGCAGGATTTTTATATTTACAATTTCGTCTTAGCGTTGGCCTTCTTCTTCTTCTTCTTATTTTTTTGTTTCTTTTTCTTTTTCTCCCTTTTTGTTTTTATTTAACTGCAGTCGCAATCAAGACTCGTTACTTGAAACTTGTACCAAAGATGATGATAAATAACATCGTATATCTCCGTGTACATAAAAATCATTTTAGCCTTATCTTGTGCTACTACCGTTTCTTTTAAAACGTATCGTTTAGAGTAAAAATTGTATAGATTCAGCCATACAATAACGGTATAGTCTCGAAGTACTGTAGTACTCTTTAAATGAGTCGTACACAACCTATCGTTAAATCTATTTACAAATCGCAATGCCATAAAAATGTACACTTACTGATATCATTTTTTTTACTTGTTGTAATATCTAAACCCATTTAATGAAATTTGTGACAAATTATTACGGAAGATAAACGGCATTCTTATTCTTTTTTTCTTCTTCATCAAATACAAGAGTTTAATGTTTAAATAACTATGTATGCATTATTATGTGCATTATATGAATATATATATATAGAAAACTAATCCAATATATATGACATATATATATATTTCTATTATTTCTATCGAGCATGTTAACGGAAAAAATATTGACTGTGTAAGTTTCGTTCTATCCCGTTTATATATTTATTTTCATCGAAAGATATTTACGCGAGCACCGCAAGGATACATTGACCAATAATAATTATTATCGAGTGCGACAGTCGTATACATATCGATTCTATGACTGTATAAGATTAGTGCACGTTTTTTTTTTTTTTTATCTCATCAACAATCAAATAGATTATATTATTTACAATGAATTATCTAATAATTTGTCACAAATTTACATATCACCAATTCGATTGATTTATTTATATAATAATTCCTAATTCGAAATAAACATTAAACATTCTGATCGCGATTTTCTGATTTACCCATCGTAGTGGGCTTCGTATTAACTTCCTGCTCGTGCATGGCAAGTGGTAATGGTGGTACTGTTTGCCTCGTATCCGGTACATCGACGTCCATCATGTTTTTCGTCATACGATTTGCTGTTTCATTAGAGTCTTGCGTATGATTAGAAGATTCTGTTTCCTCGAGATTTGTCGATTTCGTAGGCTCCGTAGGTGAAGAAATAGAGGATGGCGTTAATCCTTCGGAACTTGGTGAGTTCACATCCCCGTCCCCTAAATTATGTTGATGAGGTTTTTCCTCAAATACTATAATAAGCAATTACGAATCGATATACGTTTTATATACATGCTTGTATATATGTAAATTGTGCCGGTAATAAAATGACAGTAAAAATTAATATTTTAGTTTGTTGTCATAATTATTGGCACAATTACATATGAACCGTTCCATAGGTTCCAAAACGATTAAATTTACTTTTAGAATTTGATGTGTTAATTTTTTTACTATGAAAAAAAAAAAAAGCATTTGTGATCGATACTAAATTTGATATAATTAAAATCTATTTCTTAAACTTACATTTATCGAGACTAATAATTGATCCTACGAATTCATTGACAGTAAAGGAAGGAGCCTGATCCTCCATTTGTCTTCTCCTCCTTACGAGCCACCAATCAACCAAAAACAATGCTAGTGCCAAGATTTTAATGCCAGCGCAAAGACCAACATACCTATATTCAAATTTGATTAAGTATATTTCCGATGGGATTGAAATAATTGTTAAAGAATATATTCTTTTACCTATATCTAAATTGTTCAATATCGTATAAGAGACATCGGCCACCTTTTTCGCCACAAGTACTCTTCCATAATAAACATGTTGAATCTATTAAATTACCAAAAAGAATAGGTGCTGGTATATAACCGAACAGTCTGAAGATTACGAATTGCATACCAAGTGCGAACGATCGTTCTTCCTCCGATACAGATCTATATCGTAAATAAATATAAATCAGATTAATAAGTCAGAATAATTAGGATTACAGGATAGTGTATTATCTTACCTTAAAACTATCATTAACAAAGGCATTTGAGTTACCGCCACGATAAACGTCATGAAAAAGAGAAGAATTAAAAATGGAAATATTGTTCTGCAGGGTGAAATACACGGACCAGCAGTTGCTACTGGTACTACGGTTACTTCGGCAAATTCTGGTGCTGCTGGTGGCAGCATAGTTAAATTACCATGTATACCTGAACGAACATCAATTTCGTTTTAATATTAATCATCTTGGATTTTCTCATACAATCATCAATTAATATTATTTATTTTTGTAGATCGGGACTTACATGCACAATTCGTAAAGTTAGACTTCGAACTGAAGGCTGTACATCCAGCGTGACAAGGACTGAAGTACGTCAGGCCATTATTTCCGCAGACCGGCTCAACGTCGGTCATTCGACATTCACAACCGAAGTTGCATGCGGCAGTGAGATTTACTTGGAAAGGTTCTGGACCTTTTGTGCTGCTGTTAAAGTACGGTATAGTGGTCCCGGCCATTTTAACATTGTCGCAACCCAAGAAAAATAGAAGACCGTAACAAACTAAACATATTATGTTAGAGACAAGAACAAATTGAACTGCCCCCTTCGGTCTCAGTTCCAATCGTTTAAGTAAACATCCACCAAAGAAGATACCAATGCAAGCACCCGGTATAGCTATAGAACCGGTAAAAATGCTAGCTTGACTTTTACCCAGGCTAAATTGCGTCTCAAGATATTTTGGTAGAAAGACGACAAAGCCCGAGACGATTACTAGTTCCATACAAGCACCCAAACAGGTCACCACGTATACTGGATTACAAACGAGTCTCCACATGCTTCGTGGAATATCTATGAAAAATATATGAATTAGAAATCCAATTGACAAAAGAATATTTCTTTTTATATTATAGAATCGTAATAGTGTCATATTTTACCTTTCACATCTTTACCATATCCAGTATCATCCAATTTCTCCTTCTTAGGTTCCTTGGATTGTTCTTTCTCTTTCTGAGAAGTAGGCTTGTTTTTCTCGATAATCCTTATTTTCTCTTTCTCGTGTTGCAGTGTTTTAGGAAAACTGAAGAACGGTATTGCCACCATTATCAGTAATAAACCGCAGAGTAAGAATCCGCCCCACCACATGCCAACCCATCGATGATCACCAGGATCTAAATATAATTTTACAAATTAATTCAACACAAATACAATGCTAACTGATAACACAATAATACAATGATAAAGATAACAATTTAACTTACCGATACTAATAATTGTCCCAGAGAAAGAGTCCATGTGAAATGACAAGAGATATGCTCCAAGAAGAAACCCTAAGACTGGTCCAAATGCGGCCATACTGTACATACAACCTACAAAAATGAAAACATATATCTTAACTAATTCATTTTACTTCCCTAATAGAAGCTGATATACAAATTGAATGCTTACCGATGTACAAAGAAGCACTCTCCGGTCTCACATGATCATCTATGTAAGTGGTACCAAGAGTAAATAGAGGAGAACCACCGCAACCTAACAACAATTGAGCAAGCAAAAAGAGCGTAACAGGACCGGCATTTGATGGTGATCCTTGTATGCAATTATCTCCCCTCAAATTGTTATGCGGCGATGATAAACCCGATGACAATCGTCCTGTTAAAAATATCAAAATAAAAAACATTTTAATGAAGTATCAATTTAACAAATCCCTCCTTTTCTATCATTGTTGTTAATAACTTACCAAGTCCCATGTCTTGTTCGCGCAACGATATGCCACGACAAATATTATCCGAGCTCGAATTGTTTGAATTAGTTGTTAAATTAGGCTCTGCGGTAAAATGTGGTACCATAAAGATCATCGATCCCAATCCCATGATAACAGCACCTTTTTAAATTCGTTAATATGATATAACATAGCATAGTAATAAGTTGACGAGAGAAAAAGATGGTCTTGTTATTGTTAAGCCACTTACCAATTGCTATCCAAACAGGAATATGTCTGCGACTACCGAGATAGCTCACAAATATGACGGTAATGACATTGCCTATTTCGTATGAACTGGCTATGAGGCCCGAAAGGCTGGACGGGATTTCAAACCTTTTTTCTATGGTTGTGATCACAGAATTGATATAACCAGAACTAAGAGCTTGTTGCAGTGTTACGAGGAATGAAAGGAGGAACACGAACACCTGTAATTGAGAAAGAAGATAAAACAAACGAATAAAAGGATATTTTGATTTTGTTTCTACGACAAAATGTTATTTTAAAAAAAAAAAAGCATATTCAATTTTTAATGTCGTATATTTAGCTCGTTTAATTCGTCGTAATAAGTGAGTAATATAACAAGATTTTAATCTCTTAAGAGATAGAGATGATGATGATGATGATGATGATTCATGACTACTTGAAACATCCACGTAGAGAGGAATTAACTAGCAGAGCAGCAAACACCAGTAACAGCAGCAGTAACAGCACCAGTTTGTGACTTAAAATAAGTCACGTTTAACTAATGGTGTTTTATTTTTGTATTATTACGAATACGAACCTTTATTCCGGCAAATTTTTGAATGAAGGCGGGCCTACAGCTGAGAATTCCGCAGTCCTTTAAATCTGGATTGAACGGTGGAGTTTGGGCCCTTTCTTTTTCGGTCCTACGAAGAATAATGAAAAAGAACAAAAAAATAAATAAATAAATAGAAACAATAAAAAAAAAAAAAAACGAAATTACTTCAAACTATATAACACTTTATAACACGTATGTTTATTTCTTTTTTCTTTTTTTTTTTACCTGTCCACCATGGAAGCACTGGGATTCCTGCTGTGACATTTGATAATGAAATCTCTGGAAAATAAAAAAAAAAAAAAACATTTCGATCAAATATAATCCGTGCAATAATATTTATAAATACAAAAAAAAAAAAAAAGAAAAGAAAGAGTAAAAGTTTACGCTTAAAAAATATAGCAATATATCGTATGGTGTATAAAGTATATAACAAAATATCGTATGGTATGGTATGATTTATCAAATAAAAAATGTATATTACGTATAGATCACACACACATATATATATATATATATATATATATATATATATATA